TGGAGTGGCGGGGAAAATGAGAGGTGCTCGGATAGTGCTGGGGACCTTGGGTGAATTCAACAGTAATAATAATAGCATCTGACCCTTCCACTTCTTCCCCTGCCTTGATATCGTTTCTTCTACTCAATTACTCCCGATGCATGGTGATGGTTGCGAAGCCTGGAGCACTATTGGGTTCTTTTCCAATGTGAAAGCTGAACGCTTGATTGATTTCATTCGGTATATACATTTCGTGTAGCACAGCTACAATTTTTTGCCCTTTTTATCCTTCCACAATATCCTTCATATTCCGCCTTGCTAAATATGTTATTGATGATTTAGAGGTTCGCAGACAACACCCCCGCCCTTTGAGCCGTGAAGGTGGCAATCAGATCCATCAATGCCGGCGACAGCGCGTCGTATGTCTCGAGACCCAGGGAGTGGAACTTGGAGCGCACTTCCTCCATGCCCTTGGGGTGGAAGCCCTGCTCGATGATGGAGGAGACGAATCCCGCGAACTGAGGCTCCTGCCAGCCCTTCTGGTCGGACAGCTCGGCGTGCACAAAGTCCAGGCCCTTGAAAGGGTGGTCTTTCTCGATGCGACCGAACATGTGTACCCCGCAGCCCTTGCAGGCGTATCTCTGGATAGCGGCGGACGCGTCCACGATGGACAACTTCTCTGCGTGTTCGGTGACGGAGACGGCGTCGCGGGGAACTACTCCGACGATGGAAAACAACGATCCGGCGGGCTTCCAGCACTTAGAGCAGCCACAGGCGTGATTGTGAGCGACATTGCTGGCCAGCTTAACCACCACCTTGTCGGAGGAGCATTTGCAGTAGAGGTTACCGCCAGGGAAGTTAGGGTCCCCTTTGGTGATGCCGTTGTCGAGGAGAGGATGGAGGGAGGGCGACATGTTGGATGGAAGGAGGTTCGAAGGATATGCGACCGTGAAAATCTGGAACAGCTTAAGGATCGGGATACTGGATGTTGGTCTTCTCTACCATTTCTACTCTTCTATATAGGCGACGAAGAGCAGGGATCTTCCCCTCATCTGTCGCAATCACTTTCCTTCCATCCCCTCATGCGGGGGAGTGAGGGAGCCCGTCGGCGAGGTTCCCGGCCTGGCCGTATTGGCATCCCTTGATTTCCCACGGGAAAACATTACTCGACTGGGAGAGCGAATACGAGCGACTCCTATCGGTGGAGCTTTATCGACTCGGTCCGATCGCGACCGCGATTTCTACTGACTAAGGAGTGAAATGAGGCCATCTGGGATAGAGGCATCGCAAGGAGCACCGGGCGATCCAGCCGGTTCACACGGTTCGCCTTCCCGAGACATCTGCTTGCTTCCTCCAGAGCCTTCGGAAAAGCCGCCCGTCATCCCCATCATTGCGTTATCCAGGGATATCTACCCTATCAGCAAAATTTTCATGTCATTCCCAAGCGATATTTGGATGTGTCTCGCCTTCAGATCTAGCGATTAGATAGCTACATGACACAATACATTTTCTTATTTCCTCGGGTAAAAGCTACCCTGGCGTGCACACAACAGTGGCGATTTCTCTTTAATCGGTGAGCCCTACGCCGCCGACACGATCGCCTCGAAGCTACAACTAAGGGACCTATATATGGGAGGCAATGGTGTATGGTCTATCCATCAATACCACTATACGGTCAGTGACGCGCTCGCCGACCGCAACTTGTCACTCGAATGACCCGAATGCGGGAGACTTGAAACCAATCGAAGGTTTCTGGCAGTGGCGCCATGCATGCCTGCAGTATCCAGGTTAGTCCGAGACCATTAAGCTATAGGCATGGATGATGAGCAGGATAGCGAAAAAGCGATGACTCGTCATGACTACGACCTGTCCCAGATAGCCCCGTGAATTCCAGGAGGCACACCCTTCGCCATTCCAGCGCCTCTTCCCACTCAGCCTTGCGCGGTCGGCCGCAGAAGCTTCTGTGTGCTGTACGTCATCCTATGGGGTATAGCAGGTGTGCTTCTTCATAGGACAGGCCGTTTAGGCGAAGGTGCCTTCGATGCAGCCCGATAGTGCTTAGAGGAAGACCGATATTGAATGTTCAAATGGAATACTTGGAAAGAGCTACAAGGGGGACGGCGTGTCTGCTCCTGTGGACAAGAGACTGAACCCAGATGCTTATAGTGAATTTGTGCCGAACGAGAAGGACTCAAAGAGAAGCGATATCTGTCGTCGGGAGGTGTGAGTTGGGATGGTCGCACATTTGGAAATCATGCGGGGCGAGGTTGGATTTGTGAAATGGTATGTTCACAGTGAGTACGCGGGTCGACGGGCGCGAAAGGCTATGGCGATAGAGTTTGACGTCGTTCCCCACCATCCCGACGATCAGATACATCAGTGGAGGGGTAGGTCTCTTGGACGAAGAATATGACTCTCAGCCTGTCCTTGGAGCTGGGAACGGAGTCATCTGGAGAAGTCCCCCACCACCCCAGTAATTGAGCCTTATCCACTGGCATCCTTTGGTGGCGCGGGAGACGGCCCGGAATTGTGCTCTCCCGTGTGCGCTGGAGGCCAGGGGACTATCATTGCCTCCTCTCCTCACGCTGACTCTGTGCGGAGTGGGGGCCAGGCAGAGGTTGTCATCAAACAAACTTTGTGAAACGCTCGGAGCAGGTTGAACCCCACGAGGCTAAAGTAGATCGGCCGCGACGGCGCGGTCAGCGTGGTGCCAACCATTTCACCCCAATAGGACCGTGTGGATATCTCTCACTCCATTAGGTGAGAAAATGGGTCTGTTGCTCTGCGGGCATAGGCGGCTGTTCCCGGAGAACATGACGAATGGCCGGCCTGGATGATGAGGATCACTCACCAATGGGGTCGTTGCCGAAAGAATGACGAGGCAGCTGAGGAAGCCTCCGTGGAAGATCTTGTCTGCAAGCTAGTACACTGAATGCAGAAAGACATGGATTAGCATGCAGAGCCAATGTACGACTGCAGAAATGTCATCGCGCAGATCGCTCGGCCAGCATCAGCTGCCCACAGCCCCGCACAAACCCCTCTCGAAAGTACTGGCTCGGTCAGCGTGTCAGGTCGCTTTAAAAACAGTCTCTCGGTCTGAGAAGCGTCCGCCGTCGCCAGCCAGGTATCACACCTTGTACGCCCGCTAGAAGCCATGGGATCAATCTCACAATCGACCGAGGCCGCCTACCGGCCTACTCCTGCCGATATCACCATCAACAACCACCAACCTGGAGATCCAGACGAAATTCTATTCAAAAATGTTCGAATCCTAGACTCCACAGGCAGCTTACCCTACCTTGGAGATGTCCTGATCGAGGGCGAACGTATCATGTCCGTGGGGCAAGTTGATGAGACAGCCGCGGCAGGGGCCTTGGTCATCGATGGGGGTGGCAACAAGACGCTGATGTCGGGCCTGGTCGATGCTCATACTCATCTCAGCTTCAACAATGCAAAGACTCTGGACGGGTTGACCACCATGCCGCTAGAAGAGCACGTCATTGCTACCGCTCACTCGGCTAAAACCTATCTTGACTGCGGCTACACCATGTGTTTTGGCGCGGCCTCTGCCCGTGCCCGACTTGACATCGCCATCAAGGCCTCCATCAAGTCCGGCATCATTCCGGGGCCACGAACCCTGGCCAACACACCCGAAATCACTACTACTGGAGGAGCTATCATTCCTGACATATCCAAGTATGCGGACGGGCCTCATGAAATGCGAAAGACGGTGCGGTCATTCATCGAGCTGGGAGCAGATAACATCAAACTCAGCATAACTGGTGATAACATCACTGATAGCATGCCAAGCGATGAGACCTACTTCACCCTGGAGGAGACGGTCGCCGCCGTGGAGGAGGCCCATAACCGAGGAAAACGCGTGTGCGCCCATGCGCGGAGCAAGGAATCCGTCAAGTTATGTCTCCAAGCAGGTGTTGACGTGATATACCACGCTAGCTTCAACGATGAAGAGAGTTTGAATATGCTGGAACAGCGGAAGGACTCTGTGTTTGTGGCGCCGGCCATCAATCTGCCTCTTGCCACCTGTGCGGGTGACGCTATCCCCTTCGGGTTCACAGTCGAGATGGCTGAGAAGAAGGGCGTTAAAGAAGAGGTGGAAGCAGCATGCAAGTCCATGCGGGAGATGCATAGGCGAGGGATCCGCGTGTTACCAGGCGGTGATTATGGTTTCGCGTGGGCGCCGCACGGCACGTATGCCCGCGACTTGCACCACTTTGTTGAGCATTTTGGCTATACACCGATGGAGAGTATTCTGGCGGCTACAGCACTTGGTGGAGAGATCATGGGCTATCCGGAGGATTTGGGCAAAGTGCAGCCGGGATACTATGCAGATGTGATCTTGGTCGATGGGGACCCACTGGCAGATATAACTGTTTTGCAGGATACGTCGCGGCTGCATGCCATCGTGATTAACGGTCATATCCACAAGCGTGTCTGATAAGGTGCTGTCGATTGAGTGTGATTGGTTGCTGCATCTGGTGAGCCAGTGCCTCACTGACTACAGTGTATCTCCCTTTGTCGTTTGTACTGTATTACTCGTTGTTACTGCATTTTTGTGCTGGACCGAAGTAGTCAATTATGAAGCTGTCATTACTCTAAGACAGAGCTCAACTCGTAGAGAAAGGGTGTGAGTGCCATTGAGGAAAGAAGACCACCACCGCATTTTTTATATTATGCTAAACTCTCACAGAAGCAAAAGTTTTGGCATGGCTGTCTAGCCAATCATGGCCGGTATGATATTAATAAATATACTTGGTTCCGATAAGACTACTATATAGCCTCCTGGTATAAATCACCAATAGATACTATCCAGCTTCCTCAGATATCCACTTTTAGTAGATGACATCCACTCTTGCTCCCACTGAGCAAAGACAGATAATATATACTTTCTCCCTCAAGAAGAATGGACAGTCAACCCTCATTCTAATTGTACCTTAAATGGCCTGTCTTGATAATTCTATCTTCAAAGCATGTCATGTAACAGAACTCTGGTCATAAACTCAGTGATAATTGTCTACTGAAGCCTTGCCAGTATGCTGCTTGAGGAAGTGAATAATCGTTTCCCGAGCCTCCGCGCCTTCCGGATGCGGCAGGAGCGGATACACGTGCACCATCTCCGGCTGCTCAATAAAAGTGAATTTGTCGTTTTTGAAACTCCCAGGCATGCAAATCTCAGTGCCCTTGCCCTGGAACTTGGCGCTTAATCGTTGTGCATCCGCTACAAGCATGTCATATGTGCCGCTTAGCAGCATGACAGGCGGCAACGTCTCGATGTCCCCAAACAGTGGGCTGACTATCGGATCATGAGCTGGTAACCCTGGCCCAAGAAGCGGCAGGAGCTGACGCAGGCCATCCAGCCCCAGCCACGGGTCATTCTTGGCCCGGCGCACAACCTCGGGGTGGTCCAAGCCCAGGTCAAGTATGGGCGAGATAAGCACATGCAGAGCACGCGTCTCGCAAGCTCAGGATGCTGCTTCAATAATTGCTGCATGGTAGCTAGAGTGTACATACCGCCCGCCGAGTCACCGACTATGGACACAATGGGCTGTTCAAGTCTACTGCAGATATCCATGAAACCATCGATGACCTCGGCTGCCGTTGTCCCAGGTCGCGGAAGTAATGGGTAGATGGGGACAATGGCATCCAGTCCGGTGTCCCGCACGGCTTGCGCGACCAGCTTCCAGTGCTGGGGGTTGATCTCCCGATAAAAGGCGCCGCCGTGGATGTACATCATCGCAGGACGCTTCTTGACGGAGTTGCCTGCTGAGGACACGCGATAAAGAGGCCAGGCACCGTAGTCAATGCGGTCGATGGTGATTCCAGGCTCGAGGTTCTTGGGTGGATTGAAGTTCCGTGGCCGGAGGTAGAGCTCGCGCATATTGTTACGCATATTTTCAGCGCTGCCGAAAACGAGTCTGCTTCTACGAATGTACGTGACGAACATGCGGAAAAGCCATGCTGTGAAGGAGGCCATTCTGATTAGTTGACAAAAAAAAAAAGAGCCTGGTGATAAGGAGAAGAAGGTGTAAAAAAGGAGAAAAAGGTGTAAAAAAGGGTTAAGTTGTGGCGCGGAAGAGGGCGATGGGGTCTTGCTATTAAGTTAAGTTGGCATGTGACCCAGCGTTGTAATGAGTCTATTGACCACGAGGGTCACGTGTGGCTCAAGCTATCCACCCAAACGCTACCTGCCCAGATGCCCCTCTCCCAGACGGAATCGGACCAAAGACAGTCAAATTCAAATTTCCGTCTTGCGATATGCTAAACTCTACCGTGGACTGAAGGACTCATGGCAATACCATTATAATAAACTTTACTCGGATAGGTAAAGCAGGACCCGAACCCCTGCGCCTCCCCACACTACTAACAAAACTACCGAGGTCAACCGAGGTATTTAGTTGAGTATCAGTTCAGAAGGCACAGTTGCATCGCACAGATGAAGATACTTAGCTCGCAGGATATCACCTACAACAGTTTACCTCTTCTCACTCCTTAGCTCTTCTCGTATATCTACTGCCATAGAAATCAGTATTTAGTAGTAAAAAAAATTTCGAGTAATTGCCGGAGCGGCGTATTCCTTATCATTTACATAAGTAACCATATTATCAATACCGCCTGTTTTTATTTTTCTTTTACAAAGAATATAAAACTAACTGTAAAACTAACTAAGTTGGATACTAGTAGGGATGTCAAAAAGTAGATTCTAAGATAATAAATTAGTTATCTATTTTCCTGTCTATGGTAGTATGCTTTTATGTATCAAAGTTAACCAATCTCTGTTAGCCGCACTGCCCCTATAATTTTTTAGCTATAATCAGATCATTCTTATGATAGGATTCACGTCAAACTCCTCATCTGTTTTCCAAGTCAGTCGCAGGTAGTATATTTTCTAATCGGTATTAAAATTTAGCTAACAGCGGCCACGCGAAAACACACTAGTTATAAAGAAAAATATAATAATCCTGTTAAATCAGATAGAGATACAATGATTTTACTAGATTCTTGGATATGAATATCCAGGCACTTATTAGTATTATGCAGCTTACTATATTCATATTATTTTCATGAAAGATTCCTTAGTTTATACCAGTCTTGTTTCTGTCGCATCATTCGTCTGAATAAAATAGATATTCTAAATAACTTTTACTTATTAGTTCTTCAGATGTTATATATATTTATCTCAGTTAGTTTTAGTTTATTCTTCTCTTTTATCTCTGAATCCACATCCTTGTATTATTTGTTTATCATCTTCATTTAAAATGAGGATACCATCAGTCTTCCCAGGTCATCCCAAGCAATACGGGTGGATGAGGCTCATGTCTGCCGAGCCATTAGACATTAGCCAAGGGATTTCGATGGGTTGATGGGACAAGCCTCCACAGCACAGGCCACAGCGAAGTGAAATGGGGGCGGAGGGGCAAATGTAAGCACTAGGAAGGATTCGGGAACGTCGGAGTGCGGAATTTGATACGGCGGGCGTAACAATAATACATGGAATCGCGCAGCTACTTAGTCTGTCTGTTCGACCAGCGAGACTTGCAAGGGTCCAAGTAGTTATGCACCATGGTGTTTACTATTGTTAGATAGGCCTTCAATCTAGTTGTGTCCGCAGAAGATTGATGGCTTGGTCGGTCACCGTTGCTAGCTGGTATTTCTCTCATTGCCCTATTCTATGAAGCCATACTCTTGTGATGGAGAGAAGCGACGTTGGAGTACCGGGGTGAAAGCTTGTTTCTGACACATCATGCCCACCAATGTTGAATTTTGACAACATCATTCTGAGATTTTGGGGGCTTAATACGGCAAATAATACATGGGATCGCCTCTGTACAAAACTAGTTCAACGTGGACTGCTTTCTCACTGGTCAGCTTGCTAATCTGTCAGGCTACTAACTCTAGCGAGTCTCCACAGCTGGACGCAGCCTCTCCCATCCCCTCGCGAGGTGGTGCTGCCTGCAACCGACTATTTAGCTCTTGTCTTCGTCTTTCAGCTGTTCATGGAGCCCCTCGACCCTAAAGATTTCTGACTGGCGGCCACTCGTTCCCGTGCGAGGGATCCCCCGTTCTGATTCTTGCACCCTCCGCCTGTTTATTTGATCTTCGCTCACCCGGTCCTCTAATATGTCTTCCTATAAATTCTTGTCACTGGCTACCAAGCCATCGGCCCAGCTATGTTACAGCTTCCACCCCGCGGTGCGCACTGAAAAGCCGGCTCTGGTTGTGTTCGTCAATGGTCTGGGGCTGCCACAAACCTCGTGGGAAGGAGTAATCTCACGCTTGCAAGCCCAGCCTCCCGCTGCCGGTCTGCCCGCCATGATGACCTATGATCGGTATGGTCAGGGTCAAACCACAGACCGCGATCCTGACGATGTGAAAGCTGAGGATCCCATGCATGGTCACGACACATTGACCGTTGTCCGGGACTTGCATCAACTGATCACGCAAATCGCATCGGAGAAGTTGGGTATCTCTGATCTCAGTCGCCTCCCCCTGGTGCTGGTTTCGAACTCGATTGGTGGTGCACTAGTACGGCTCTACGCGCAAGAATACCCCGGCACAGTGGCCGGCCTTCTGTTCCTGGACAGTGTGCTCGCTAATTCCGATTTTGTCTCCATCTACCCGGATCCTGATTCACCTGGCTTCGACGAGACCAGCTTGCCACACGGTGTGTCAGTGGAAGCCATCCGTGATGCCCGGGCATACATGCAACGGGTCTTCCACCCCAGTAATGGCAGTGGCGAGGGCCTCAGTCGGAGGAATCTAGCAGAACTCCTCCCAAAGAGCGATGGTCCCAAATTGCAGGGTCCCGATGGTCAAGGTCCCTGGGTGACGGTTATCGGTCACGAGTTCGAGACGTTCAAGGTCGAGTTTGAGAAGATGGGCGGTGCACCACCGAGGCTGACGGAAGTGTATATGAACCCCTACTGGCACCGCTTCAATGAAGGGTTGGCCAAGCTCACTGAATCGGAGCGGAGTAAGGGCCCGTTCCAGGCTCCGGGAGCCGGCCACTTTGTGCAGCGGGATAACCCGGAGCTCGTGGCGAACGAGCTTCGTGAGATGCTTGATAAGGCTATCTGACCTCCTGGATGTCTTAGCCTACGATATTTCATACATGAATACAACAGTACAGTGGCGGTGATATAGAGACTTAGTCACCTGATGGTGTCAGCTGGAAAAGGGTTTTATAGCTTGTCCCTTAGGTAGTATAATCGATCAATTGGTGTCGGTTGATTAATCGAAACCTTACTCAGATATAGCAAATCCAGGTTTGCTCTTACCGAGCGCTCACAGTGTCACGAGATTTACTATACACAGAACGGCATAGGGGGCCATCTGCAAGGCCTTTACAGCAGGCTCCTTACATATAAGTTGGTACTAGTACATAGGCTTGTGTTCTGTTATACTGCCTATCAAAATGTTCTTTTGAGTGGTTTTCATGATTAGGTGCATACATGTGGATGGTGTCATTTTTCGGTGACCACAGAATATCATGTGATCCCACAATATGACCCCCTCCATCAGCCCCCAGAAATCTAGAAGGATCCTCATGTATGCGACGAAGCTTCTGCTGGAATTGGTGATGATCATCATGGAGTTCGCAGACTACAAACCACGGCGTACTCTGGAAGTCCCGCATGATCCTCTCCATCCTACTAACCGCAAGGCGCTGGACCAGTACCTGGAACATTGCTGGCAGAGTATTTTGTGGTGTGATATGATGATGAGGGGTCTTCGATTGGGCCCTTGGTGGGATTTTGAAGTTGAGAATCAGGTCTCCCTGCTCTGGTGCAGATGGCAGTGCCCGTTCGGCACAAAGGAACCCAAGAGAAGCTATTTGCGGAGATGGTTTTATTCCATGGTAATCCGGATGACTTTCTGATAATACATAATACAACCCCATAATATAATACATAAGCGCCTTACGTGAGATATAAGTGGGGCATGATTATCAGTGGGCTTTAGAGAACAGCAGCGATGAAAGCAGCAGCAGCAGCTCCTCCGAAGACGAGGCCCGCATCACTCTTGGCCAGAGAGGCCTTACCGGTGCCCGTAGCAGAAGCATTGACATTCGAGGCAGTCGCAGTCTTGGAAGAGGCGACAGAGCCAGCCGTGGCAGCACTAGTAGAGGCGGCAGATGCCTGCGACTGTTTCCCCGTAGCAGTAGCAGCGGAACCCGTGCTACTTGCTGTCTGAGCCTCAGTTGTAGCGTGGGCGGCGGAGGCAGCCACGCTCGTGACAGAGCCCGCCGTGATAGTCACAGGCATCAAATCCAGATCACCATCCAGGGTGGAGCTGCTGGTTCCTGGGAAGTTGGCGCCGGATCCCGAGGCTGTTTCGGTACAGACGGCGTGCGTCGTTCCATCGACAGAGCAGACGCAGGTGTAGTAGCTATGCAGCAAACCATGTTAGTAATCACCCATGCATAGGTTGTAGACAACAACCAACTCACAAATCTAAATCCGGAGCATCCAGGATCATGGTGGTTTTGGGACCGGCGATCAGGGTAAGACCGGGACCCATGCCACAATCACTGGAATCGGTGCCGGGTGGGCAGTTGATACTGTAGGTTGTCGCGGTCGCATCCTGCATCACGGTTAGTTGAGGGGGGTATACCAGGCTGATAAAGACAAGGACGACTTGCATTGCCTATGATGGACGCTGCCAAAGGCTGTGGATCGGTGTCGTAGATGAACATGGAGGTGACAGTGGCCTTTGCTGAGACCAGGCCGGCAGCAGCCAGACCGAGAAGGAGCGTACGGTTCATCATGTTTGGAAGGAATGACTGATTGCTGTGTTGGTGAATGAACGAGTGTAAGAATAGAGAGAAGGTGTGAGAGCGATGCAAGGACGAAATAATTCAGACAGGAAGAAAGAAAGAAAGGAGAACTGCAGAAGAGGCGCGTATGAATGGCAGCCACCTTTCTCCCCAATCCAATCCTTCTCGTGATCCTGACGGGACTCTTTGAAGATTACCGAAAGAGGCAAAATTGCAACCGGATCTAACCTCCTTCAGGGCAGGTCCGGGCAAAATACTGCCCCGCTAGCCTCTATCAGGGAAAGCCGGAAGCCAATTCGGGGTCCAGACCCTGATTTGGGCGCCTCGCTAATCCTTAACGGGCCCTAGCGTTATCGCGGGGGTGGAGACCCAACAAGCAGAATTTCATCTCTGCGAAGATGACAACGATGGCTGTGATGCTGCGGCTTGCTGTGGACAAGGCGATGAAATTCTTCCATGATGCCCTTCTTCAACCCCAGTAGGAAGCAGGAACTAGATGGTAAATGAACAGAGGAAGTCGATAGTAACTAGTATTCATCAGTTGTCGAACCCTTTCATATTTCTGCTGTTTCTGTGCTTTTAGACGGTACGGTATAACCGACGGCGACTATCTTTTTCTTGCCAGAGCACGCGTTGCTTCATCTGTCGTCTGTTGCTGCGAGCTCAAGGGATTTGATGGCACTGAGGGCATATTCGTATTTTAGTACAGCAGCTGCATAGCAAGCACCTGCCTTGACGGGCGCGATTTAATTAAGAACATGAATCAGATTCACTTGACTGTGTATTATGAAAGAAGGGAGAACTCCTACAACTACTACCACCTTCCTAGAACATCGTCTGATAGGGCATTATATCTTAAGTTTCACAAACATTGGAAATCAATTGCGCTCTACATAAGCTGCACACTAAATGATTCCATAAACTCGCTGATATCTCTTCCTCCATGAGTCCATGACACCCCTTGAAGCCTTTCACCGCTGGCAATGACTTGAGCTTGTGTGATATGATGCGATTCACTTCACCTGTGAATAGTAGTGTCTCATTACCATATAGAACACCGGGACAGTCACTGCAGTCAGGCTGCACTTCACCGGATCTTTTCTTCGGAGTGGCTATATATACTGCGCTTCCGGACATCCCTTTGCCTTCCTCATCTTCCTTTTTTCATAAGCCAATAAGGGGACAGCAATTCATTTTCAGACACAGGTATTTGGAACTAGATAGGCTACACCAGACAATTGCCGGGATTTAGTAGGGGCATGGGGCTGAAAGGGTCCACAAATACCGACAGTTGCAATAGGAGGCACAGCAGTTCCCCTTAGGCAAGTTGAGAGACAACATTTGATTGTGGATATGTCTCACAAACCTTGACCATTTTAGCATTTTCAGCCTCGGGGGCTAGCTTGTGGCTTGCAAATAACGAAAAGCGAACTCGCCCTATATTGAGAGATCAATGTTCTCAAAGTCTCCGTCGCTTTTGAGGCATCTAAGGTAGTCCAAAAAAAAGTTACAACACGGTACTCCTTGCCGATGATAGTACTGCGAAAACAAGGAGAAAGCCGAAGGTAGCTAATCATTCTTCGGGTTTAACGTTGACAGTATGAAAGTGCCGTGAAGGAATATCCCTTACGTCTTAAGAAAAGCACCTCTTAAGTGTCTACGGTTCTGGTGGGAAGGAAGGGTGCAGAAGTGGCACAATGTGATGTTTCTGGACGGAAACAGTACCGAGAGACCGGAGAATCTAGTTCCTCATAATCCATTAGCACATAGCCTCCACTCCAAGGCACTATTTGCCTTGGAGCCATGCGGGATCAATGAGGAGAATACCGAGCTGAGAGCTAGACTCTGGTGGCCGAAGCCGTCGAGGCCGGCGGGACCTACCGTTGGGTTCAAGATTCCGTACAATCTGGAGTTAGCAGGCATATGCCTCTACAATCCATTGAGCCACCAAACCATCAAGTCTGGGAACCGCATAGTAGTGACGACACCAGATCCGGTGCGACTTCCTCTCCTCTGATACCAGGATCCTAGACATGCAATGGCTTCTACAGCGGCTTGCCGCACTTAGCGGAGCCGCAGAGCCTGGGGAGTTGGATGATAACGACAATGACGACGTTGAGGGTATGGATGACTTCGGTCTCCAGCTCATGTCAGCACTGCAATCTTCTAGTGTGGCACATCGACTCGAATCTTCCCCTCCGTCGTCGTTGAGCGATGGATCAGGGTCCACAGTGAAGCACGGCTCGCGAATCCTGGCCACTGCAACTGATACAGAGATCGGAAACCTTGCTCATCATGACTCCTAGGTTTGGCTAATGAAGCGGCCTGTTCCTGAAACTGGTTTTTATTTCCGTGGCCCGGAAGTATTATATTTAACCCAATTGGCTAAAGAAGTATATGCGTTCTTTCTTCAAATTGTGATGTGATTGAAGAAACTCATATTTATGACAAGAGGTTCATCCTATTTACATTGAACGTAATTCCTACGGTCATGTGGCTTCCGAAATATTGATCTACTGGCATCAAGTTCCGAAAATGGATCTTAACAGACCTTGCATGGAGGATAAGCATCAGCCCATACCAGGTGTGCCTGTCCCAGCCACAGCGATGCAGTCGGCTACGATGCACCGTCCAGAAACACTCAGAATTCTAACAGAGCAATTGGACTCTGATGATTAGAGAGAACCCAAATCATCACCCGCAGACACACCATGCTCAGTCAAAAAAGCTGTAAGGGACCGATACAAGTTCCCAATCCTATGCTGACAAGTGTGAAGTGCAGGGAACGCGATTTATCTTGCATTATAACGAAGACACCACTGGACTTGACTTTTGCAACGTCGCCCATCTCTATCCTTTTTCTTTGAAAGACAAGGACCACCAGTCAACGGGAATTGTTATATTGAGTATCCATATCTAAATTGAATCTATGCAGATCCTTGAATCCTTGCGATCTAGCGGCGCCCGGGAGGAGGAGTTGAAGATGCTAGAATTCTTACACTCATGTGGCCTCTATCATTGGTAATCTACTGGCAACATCTTCTTACGTATTATGCAGAACTTAACAGGACGATGTTCCCAAAGTTCTGTGCCAAGGCCAGAGCTAGAAGAATATTCTGGTAACCCATATAATAAAATAGATTTTTTCCTAGTCCTCTTACATCTAGCCCACTTATGATAACAAGAGGTCCATCCTATCTCCATAACGCGTAATGAAAGTCAGCTGGATCTAGACACCGTTGCCGCTCTCCAAACGCGTACAATCCCACCATCATCCCCGTAAAAGCCACTCCTACCGGCGGTGCTGCTGTCATACTGCGATTCTCCGCCTCGCCGATCCACCGTATCGGCTCTTCATTCGACTCATCCTCTCTGATCTCCTGAAATCCGAACCGGTAGCGATCCCCACACTCGATCACCAAACGGACATCCGACTGCGAATTCTGTAGGCCGAAGTCGACTATCTCACCTCCCGGAGAACGTAGCCGAACAACACGCTGCCCATCGTTCGCTCGACAAATCCCGATGCTGCTGTAGGTGAAGTACGTCCACCAGACGACTGCACCAGCCTCGCATGCCTGGTTCCTCGGATGGAAAGACAGCAGTGTCTCCCATGTACAGAACCGATGGGTCTGTTTACGAAGAAATAGAGTTGGACACGCCGGGACGGACAGATTATATGGACCACCGTAGAGGCGAAGGTGGCCTGGTCGCTCGGTGAGAGAGTAGTCACGCACAACTGGAGTATTCTTGCGGTACCATCCTAGCTGGAGCTCACTGTCCGAAAAGTCATCTCGCCAGGTGACTGGAACTGAGAGCTCATAGAGGTGGGGGCTCTCAGAGTGGAGGGGGATCTTTTGGCCACCGTTGACAATGGGCCAGTCGTTCTCCCAGTTCACAGGAGCTAGAAATGTTTCGCGACCTGTATCTGGCATGAGCACACGGTATACGGAATAAACACGATGGGAAGTACCCACCAAAAACCGATTCCTCCCACTGACCATCCTTCCGGACAGGACGCACACCTAACAAAACAGCCCACCACTGCCCCTGCGCATCTTCCACCAGGTCTGCATGCCCAGTGTTCTGAACTTCATCATCCACTCCATTCCTCCAGAGAGGATTATTGGGCCCAATCTCCCATGGCCCGAACGGGCCAGTAGTACTGCGACTGACCCACTCGCAATGACCGCTCTCCGTGCCGCCCTCCGCGGTGAAAAGATAGTAGTATTTGCCGCGTTTGAAAATATGCGACCCCTCCGCGACACCGGAGGTGGACTCTCTGATTAACTTGGGCTCCGAAGTGGAGGCACCTGTCTCCAGGTCGACAGTGACAATGTGAACGGCGAAATCCTTGAGGTTCACACCGGGAGTTCGGTGAAGCTTGCGATACGTGCTTGAGAGATAGACGGTGCCATCGTCGTCCCAAAATAGCTGTGGTATGGATTAACTATACTAATCTGAGAGAGAGAGAAAGAATGGGAAGAACGGACATCTTGATCAAAGCCAACTTGGTCAAAATACACCGGGTCCGACCACGAACTCGAGTCCCATATATTTCTGGTCTTCACATAGAAACCACGCGGCCAGACGCGGTCATCTTCCTGTGGCCGGTAACGCTGGAAGCTTGCGGCGAGGATGTAGAATACGCCATCGTGATACCGCAGAGTGGTGGCCCACACGCCACCACCAGGCTCGGGGGTTTGAATCTGGAGTTGGCTGGGACGGGTGAGGGCATGGCCGATCAGATTCCACTGGATAAGGTCTGTGCTGTGGTAGATGGGGGCACCGGGGAAGTATTCGAACGAGGAGGTGACGAGGAAGAAGTCATTCCCGACGCGGATAATAGAGGGGTCGGGATTGAATCCCGGTAGGATGGGGTTGATGTACATTTTTAAGAATGGGTGGATGTGAGGCAGAAAGTACGGGGTAGTGCTGACATGCAGGCTATTTTATGTTTTCTTAAACAAGTGGTAGATGATTGGTGGAGAAATACGGGAAGGAGCATGCAAATGAGGGGATCGCTTGCCAAGGGTTGTTGTGTTCTCCAGTAAGATTCTATTTTCATCACTCGTCGTTGTTGTTGATTGAAGTCTTCTACCAGTATATTTGGTGTATCTACTGATGTGTAAGTAGCATTGATCTACGCCGCAGGCTGTCGCCGACGCAGCCAACAGGGCCAGCCGTACGGAACAGCCGTAAAATGGGTCTCAAAGCTCCACGGCTTCTTCGGGTCGACCTGCTCGATATCATAGTCGCGCAGGATAGTAGCAGTAACCTTGGAGATCTCAAAGTGGGCCAGGTTTCGACCGGGGCATTGGTTGTATCCAGCCCCCCACTGTGTCTGTTAGTACCCTGTAACGTATCTCCTGTAAAGACAATCCAACTTACATGGATGAGAAATGGGTCCATCTGTCTAGCTCGATCAGGGTCCAGCCATCTTTCTGGATTAAAGTCGTCACAGTCAGGCCCAAAGAGGTCAGGGTTGCGGTGGAAAGCCCAGGGGTTGATGCTGAGAAGTGTCTGTTGCGACAATGTCAGCACACTTTGCCATCAATGGAGGATGATGACGACCTACTCCTTCTGTGAAATGGCGTCCACCAATGGTGAGACCACCCGCCGGAACAACACGAGGTAGCCCAGTGCCGGTAGCCGGGTGGTAGCGATAGGTTTCCTTGATCTACACTCATCAGTATGGCGACCGCGATCGAGGAAGGGCCACATACACAAGCCTGAAGGTAGGGCAGCTTTGCTGCCTCTGCGTACGAGACCACATGCGACAGATCACCCCGGGTGTGTGCTTCATCCACCTCCTGTCGCAGCTTTTGCAGGTACTGCGGATGGCGGAGCAGGTAATAGAAGAATGCCTGCAGCGTGGCACTTGTGGTATCAGCGCCGGCACCGATATTGGCGACGGCTGCCCCAAAGACCTCCGCCTCGTCCATGCGATCTGGATACTCTCGCCGCACATGCAGCCAGCGCTCCATCATATCTAGTCTGACGTCGGGGTTCTTCTTCCGACTATCGATGGCAGCCAGGCAGGTGTCAAAGATGTGCGACGAGGGCTGCAGACCGATCCGGCTGAGCAATGGATTTCCTAGGGTGAGATTATGCAGCCAAACGTAGTGACCCATGATGGCGATGTACAATGCCAATGCACGAGTATTGGCGATAGCATTGCGGATATCGGTGCCTGTCTCGAGGAACCGGAACGGGCTGGAAAAGGTGACTTCGCCGACCACATCAAAGGCGAAGTAGTTGAACCAGCGATCGAACTCTACCGGCTGGCCCGACGCGATCAGTTTATCGAACTGCTCCTCGAGGAGTCCCAAAAGGGCATCCACAAAGGGCTCGGACTTGATGATGTTTGACAGAGCATAACCCGACGCCACATTGCGGGACTTGCGAATGTGGCGCTGGGGATCCAATTCCGACATCTGGTTCACATAGTGATAGTCGGGCAGGCTGAATATCGAATACCATGATCCCTGGTACTTCGTTTAGCGTGATTGTCTAATTATCGGGGAAGAAATACTCCGGTATCCTACCTTGGCGATGTTGGCATGGAGCAACAGGCGCACCGCATCGGGATGGGCGACGCTGACTTCGTTGTCGGCGATGCGAACAAAACTGCCTGTCTCAAATATTAGTGAATGGTTTGTGTGATTGCGAACCGGTGGAGATGCACGGACCATATCGGCGATGGAGTTTCACGATCTCCTGTTCGGTGTGGCCCTTGATCAACTGGTAGACCTGCCAGAGGCTCGAAATTGAGGCCAGCCAGGGACCAGGGATATCCCGGATGGAGGTCGCATAGCGCCTTTTCACGGCAATTGCCACGACAAAAACAAACAGCAGGAAGGGCAGAGAAACTGGCAGGGATGTCAGACTCCCAGGGAGCCAGGCGGACGCAAACAGGACGGGCATGCTGGGTCCTAGGGGATGACCTTGCGTCTGCCTAAAAAATTCGAGACACCATCGAGTCGATCCTTGGCCCGTTATTTCTATTTATCGCGTAACCCTCTTCGGGGGGATTTGCAATGAAGGAGGCATGAGACGCACCGGTGCTAGCTAGTGTGCTGCTAATCCTGCGCTAACGGCCTCCGCGGCCGCTATCTGATTTTTCCTGCGGTGGGCAGGATTGAGCAGGCAGGCGTTAATCGAAGAGCCCTTGAGTGATCATCCCCTTTGTCATCCGGCATTACCGTGAGTACTCGACTTGATTTATCATCGTAGGAAGCAGCAAAAGTTGACTTTTTGCAGTCCATTCACACGTGTGGGATACACATGGCAGTCAACAAGGATGGCCCACTGGCAGGCGTTCAGTGGAGATTCGGGACGCCGTGGCCAATTGTTCGCCTGCAATCTGGCCGTGAAACCCGGCACTGACGGCCACGAAGCGAGCTTCTCTCCCAAGTTGGCGAATCACGTATGCTCGATATCAATAGCGTTCCCACTCCGGCTCCATGACGTGAAGGATCAAGTGGACCCAAGTGTCACCAGCAAGGCACAAGCAAGACGAACCCCGATCCAGACCTTTCATAATACCCATTGTAATCTTGCCCGGGAGGGAGATTGGGTTCACTCGCCCCAATGAGGGTTCCACTGCCCATTAATGAGGATTGTCGGCTTTTCTCATCCTTCGCGACGGCTCTGAAATCCTGCATTAGGCGTTGACGCCCCTGTTCCTGCAGGACTGTTCGGCAGACAAAATCCCGTCCATGTCCTACCCACCAGATATCTAAAGAACCCGCCGTGTCTGCTTCTCTCGATGTTGCCTCGCCTTGCTGTAGCGGCCCAGCGTCTGCCATGGCGTCGACCAGCACACTTGAACTAACGCCAGAGTTCCTGGCGCAGGATCGACGCCCGCAGGCGAGGATCGGAATTGGCGTCGTGACGGCATTGTCTGGAGTGATCGTCTTGATTCGAGTCTACGCGCGATGGTTCATGATCCGCAGTTTTGGGTGGGATGACGGACTCATCTGCATAGCGATGGTAGGATACCAAAATACCACCTGCGCACAAATCCTGACGATTAACAGTTACTAAACATCGCCGTCATGGCCCTCACCACACAAGTCCTCCGCTACGGCGCCGGCCTGCACATCTGGGCCCTCGATACCGCCGAAACCCCGCTGCTCTACAAATGGCTCGTCGCTGCGCAGCTGGTATACATGATCGCATTGTGGACGTGTCGACTCTCCGGTCTGGCCTTCTACCGTCGATTGAACCCCATGCCTCAGTTCCAACTCTACCTCCAGATCTCCTTTGCATTCGTCACGGCCGTCATGCTCGCCCAGGTCCTCATCATCGCTCTGCAATGTATCCCGCTGGCTGCGCTCTGGGGCGGCGCTACCGGGAAGTGTCTGGGATCGAAAACGGTGTTTATTTCCACTGCCGCGATGACCATCATCTGCGACTCGCTGATCTTGCTGTTGCCGGTCAAGATTGTGTTTTCTATCAAGGCGAATGCAACGCGTAAGGCGGCGTTGAGTGTGGTGTTGTGTTTTGGGGTTTTGTAGGTGTTACATCATCTGTCCAGTTTCCTCAATGGCTACTTACTTACTTACTAACCTTGCTTTGTTTCTAGTGCCGTGATGTGAGTAACCACAGTTTCAGATATATACGACCGATATATTTTTCAACTAACTAGTAACGAAACCAGGACCTCCGTCGCCCGCATCATCTCCATGATCCCTGCTATTCAGAAAACCGACGCAACCTGGTACTTCTCGGTCGTGATGGTCTGGTCCGATACGGAAGTCAGCACGGCTATTATCGCCTTGTCGTTGCCGGCGTTGAAAGGACTAGTCGGTGCTGTGGCGGGCAGCACGCGGAAGGGAACTGATCAGACACCAGGGAGTAATGGGGGTCCGGATCTGCATTTGCAGAATGTGCATGCTGGGGGTGGCCATCGTCTATATGAAGGGCCGGAAAGTTATCCCAACGAGGCGCGGGCTGGTTTGGGGGATAATGCGAGTCAGGAGGCGTTGTGGGTGGATACGACGGCCGGGATTCATGTCAAGAATAGTGTGAGGGTTAGTGTGAGTGATCGGTGATGAATTTATGGAGGTGCAGATGTGTATGTATGACCTTCGTGGCTATCTTGGCAGGCAGGGCTGCTGCTTCTTTCCTATGTTGAGGTGTATATAACTGGAATATCGATTTTCAAGATACTATAGGCCTCCAAACACATCTATCACGCTCCTCGGTTCAGAGTACTTGCCAATCGGCACATATTCCACCTCCTCGAACCCCATCGACTTGGGCCCGCCCAGCTCCATCCCTCTCGGCGTATCTGTCCAGCGTGGCGAAGCAGCAATAGCCAATACCACCACCTTGAGCCCATACTTGAACTCCGGGGTCCCCAGCCCGGCCCCAGACTCTGCATCCAACACAACAATCAAGTCCGGCACAGCAGCCAGGATCTTCTTCTCTCCGTCTTCCAGCACTGCCTCAACGTAAGCATTCTCGTTCTTAAATGGAATGTTCAGTGTCGCTTTGCGTCCGTCACTCAACTGTCCATTTATCTCCAACACTCCGTAGGAATGCCCCGTCTTCAGCACCCTCGACACACTGATCACCTTACCCTCGCCCAGGATAGCGCCACTCTCGGGTCCCCCCGCCGCTTCAACAATCCGCATCGCCTTGTCCGCAATGTTCTTCTCCAGACACACAGCCCGTCCAATCCACCACGCCAGGGAAACCGTATTCCGAATCGCCTGCTGTCGAACCCGTCCCGCTCGATGAGGCGGACCCGCACTCCCAGCCCGACACCCCATCTCCACGACCGCCGCTCGCAGCGTCTTATCCACCAGCCGATCCGTGCGTGACCTCGTCATCGTCATGAATGAGCCATCGCCACTCGCGATCGCAGCTGGAAGGAGAGCCTCTCCCCGCGGTGAGCCATACACGTTCGGCGTAACCTGCCACATGGTCGGATACGCACGACCCATGTAATCTGCGTCGAGACAGGGGACGCTGTAATGTGCGGCAACACCGAGATTCACCATGCCGTTGCCGCCGCCGATCTCGAGGGCCAGGAAGGCAGAGACGGGAGGGCTGTCAGTGACCCGCATCAGCTCATCGTGGGCTTGTAGGCATTCGCTGTTTTCGAGGCGCTCCATGCTCACTTCGGGGCTGCCCATGCAGCCGGTCCAGCCGACGAGGGCGTCGTCGGGTAGGGTGTCTGGAGATATGATTCGGACCGTACCGGGGTGGTCGTGCAGGTAGGCTTTGGCTTTCAGGTACTCCTGGTAGGGATCGCCGCCGCCGCCGCAGCCGAGGATTTTGCAGCCGCGGGTGATGAAGTCGAGGTCGGTGGGGGAAATGATCCATTGCTTGTCGCGGATTTCAGGGCGGTAGGACTGCAGGTCAGGTTGTGCGGCTTTTGGATTGAGTGTATCAAGTGGAGAGCTAATGGTAGCTGTGTCTTGGACTTCTTCGTCTGGAATAGACACCGTTTTCTCTGCGGATGATTTGGCTACAACGTCCAGCTGTCCCACGGCCCGCACAACAATACGCGCCTTGGCCTCGACATACTGGATGGGTAGCATGGTCACTTCTGCCACCTGCACTGTATCCGGCCGGGCACCATTGCCGATGGCCTTTTCAGTTGCCATGGCGCAGACAGCCTCCTGTGCCTCTTTGACCGTGCGGTTGGAGGTATCCACGACCGTATCAATCACCCCAGAGACACGCGAGATAGCTGCGCCGACCGCATTGGCGACCTCGCCGCCCTTGACTGTCTGCACTTGCCGTACACCCAGAAGGGGCTCGTCGGTGCGGATGATAGGGGCACCGCCGCCGACGATAAGGACGTCCACGTCGTCTTTGTGGATTTTGGTACGGTCGACGAGCTCCTCAATCTTCCGGCGCATGAGAGATTGTGCCTGATCCACCATGGCGATATCCATATCGGCTAGTCTAGTGGGATCGCCCATTCCTTTCAGCGGGTTCATCTCCGTGACGCCATGGACGGCAGACGCCACAGAAATATCAGTCGCAGTGAGATACTCGCCGCCGAACAGCCGGGCTTTCTCCAATAGCTCGTGGGCTACACTGTCCGGTCCGACGGAGCAATCACTCTGTCCGATGCCGCGGATGATACTCCCTCCTCCTAATCCGATGCTTTCCACCGCGGGCAGAGCAAAGTTCGTGCGCACGCCCCCAACCAGACTCGTCACCGAGCTCATCTGTGGCAGACCATTGGGGAGTAGTAGTCCGCTGTCGGAGGTGGTTCCGCCAATGTCGATGACTACCAGTGGTTCTGTGCGAGTAGTTTGCTGCTGCTGGTCGTTAGCCTCTGTGGCAGCGCGCCAGAGGAACTCTCCGCCACGAATGGAGTTGGTCGGGCCTGAATTGAACGTTCGGATGGGAAGGTGGACTGCCTCCGCCGCACTGAGAACGCTCCCATCATTCTGAGTCAGATACAGGGTGTAGGGAGTATCTTGGAAGATATCCTCCATGGCTTTCTGAAAGCCATAGATAGTCCGTTCCGCCAGGGGACGGAGGGTGGCGTTGAGAATGGCCGCGTTCTCGCGTGCCAGGAAACCCAGGCCAGATACTTCGTGTGAGAGAGTAATCCGCGGTGTGTATGACGGACCAGCGTGCTTTTCCATCGATCGCAAAAGAACGTCCTTCGCCCTGGTCTCCTGGGTATGATTCAATGGCGCGTACATACCAGCGATCACCACGTTTGAGATCCCATCATGGACCAACTGCGCTGCGATTTTCTCCAGCTCGGTCTCATCTAACGGGCTGATCTCCTCTCCTGAAATTTGGTACCCACCATGGCAAAAGTATGGCCGCGACGATGCGATACGCGCGCGTAGATCAAGAGGGAAATCCGTAAAGGGAGGGATGTTGCGACCGAATCCCTCGTCGGGTCCGCCACACAGTCGAATCACCGCGACGCGGCGTAAAGAGGGTGAGCGCTGGACGACGGCATTGACAAAGTGGGTAGTCCCGACAATGACGCACCCGATGGCCGAGAGGGGCACTTTTGCGGCCGCGATGACCGCCTGGACGGCGGCGGTGATGCCGGTGGTGACATCTGGAGTAGTGGGTGCTTTGTGCGAGGCGACGATTGCCACGGGACTGAGATGGATGAGCACGGCGTCGGTGTTGGTTCCTGATGTCAATTGTTAGTGGGGAAGCTAAAATAGACGTTGGTGGGGGGAAGGAGGGACGAACCGCCCACATCCACCCCCAGGCGGTAGCGAGGTTCCATGGCACTGCCCATACTGGTGGTGGTGGTGAATTGAAGTCACAGTCGAGGGGAAAGTGAATCCCCTCACTGTTCGGTGGGAGACGGAGGAATTTCTAGTAAGTCGTCTTCGTCAGAGCGGGGTTAATCTGATCGTCGGATTATCTCCTCCCTCCATCAGAAGCCAATCGTCGCTTGGTGATAATCAGTCAGGCTTTGTCTCAGACGGGCCTCGTCCCGAAGCCACCGCCTATCTGGATCCATGGCCCAATAGCCTTTTATCTCGGCCGGGATTTACGATGGTACATCCACTAGTAATAGTGCTGGAAGTGCGGAGAAGGAAGGGCAGCAGACATTTGTATTACATGATCGGGGTATGGTAGTTAAAAAATATGAACAACTCCGTGCCACGACTCTTGATCCACCGATCAAGAGAGGCATGAGAAAAGGTTAAATGACATCAGAAAACATCTACAATGCAAAATGCGGCGCATTAATAAACAGTCCCATTAGAATCCCACCCAACGTGCCCGCGATCGGAATCGTCATGATCCACGCCAGCAGCAGCAGTCCCACGCGCTGGAAGTTGACGGCCTTGAGCGTGCCATTGCACAGTCCCACCCCGACTGTCGCGCCCGTGATACACATGGACGTGGACACGGGCAGTGAGTACTGCGAGAAGACGAGCACCGTGATGGCGGCGCCCATTTCCATCGAACAACCGCGACTCGGCGAGTGGTAGGTGATCTTGTTGCCCATCACTATAACCTCGTTAGTAATCATTGACGAGTCACACGATAGGATCGACTTACCCTTCATGATGTTGTAGCCGTAGGTGATCAGGCCGATCGAGATACATGCCGACAGCACCGCCAACTGCCACACGGGCACTGGTGCCTTGGCCGCCGCCGCGTTGCCAGTCGACCAGGCCGAGTAGATGACGGCCCAGGGACCGACCGAGTTACCAATGTCGTTGGCACCGTGGGCAAAGGAGGCAGTGCAGGCGGTCAGCACTTGGATGAACGAGTAGGTGTGCTCGACTTCGTTGGGATACTTGTCGGCGTGGGCGTACACGCGCTGCATGCGCTTGCCTTCGGGGGTGCCCGCAATACCAGACTGGGCGGCGTGAATGTCATAATGCAGACCATAGAGAAGCCCACACACAATCATCGCCGGGATGCGCTTCGCCAGAATCACCATATTGTGCAGCTCGTACAACTGCCCGGCTCCCATGGGGTTGTCGCGGAGAGTCCGCATCGCCCAGCCCAGCGGGCCACGCTTCTTGAGCAGGCGCTCCCGCAGCCGACGGTCGGATTGTTCCATGAGTTCCTTGTAGGTCAGTTGCTGAGATTCCCCGGCCACCATGCGCTTCTCGCCTTCCTCGCTGCGGGACGGAATCGACTCGACGCCGGCCTGGGTGGACTTTTTGGCATCATCGCCGCGGAGAGTATCCGGGGAGCCGAGCGTGAGGTCTTCGGAGCTTCCCTGCACGACCGCGTAGTCCGGGATCTTGGCCTGCTCACCATGCGTGACCACGGGGCGCGTCAGCAGCATGGGGCCCAGGATGAACATCCACCATTTCACACTGTGATCCTTACGGATGACACGAGCGTACACAAAGGGGACGAAGAAGAGGGCGGAGAGAAGCATGACGCCACCACCGGTGCCCATGGTGACCGCCGCGATGTACCAGCTGGGCTTCTTGGACAGACCCAGACTGGGAGAGCCCTTGTAGACGATGGACAGGGTGCAGATGGTGGCGGCAATCAGGAAGAAGAAGGGGGAACTGTAGACGGCCCAGGGGATAGGGTTCTTGCGGATCAGCACGACCAACTTGATGAGCATGAAGATGGCAGCCCCGAAGCCTCCCGAGATCACGGGGGCCATCCCCAGCCCGGCGAAGATGGCCCCGAGGCCCTTGCCATCATTCCAACCCCACTGCACGTGGGAGGCACCTACGGTAGCCACACCCACGCCCGCCACGGCCGAGATCAGGGAGTATGTCGAGGAGACGTGGGCCGAGTGGCGCGTACACCACATCACCCAGGAGGAGGCCGCCGCCAAGGCACAGGTAAAGGCCAGCATCTGGACTCCGGCGTTGCCCTGGAAGGCGGAGTTGGGAATGATGCCGTTCTTGATGGTATCCGCCGTGCGAGCTCCGACACAGATGGCGCCCAGCATCTCGAAGACGGTGCCGAAGACCATGGCCTGCCGATAGGAGACGGAGCGGGAGGAGACACTGGTTGCCCAGGAGTTGGCCACATCGTCTAGAAGACAGATACAGAGGTCACGTCAGTATAAAAGGTACATCCAATCCGGGGATAAGCACATGACTTGGTGTCACCACTCACTTGCACCGTTGTTGTAGGCATCCAGCATGGCAAACAAGGTGCCGATGGCGAAGATGTAGTCGTACTCGTGGAGGATCGCCATGGTGACTTGACGGCTTCTTTGGCTATGAGTACGGCCAGCAGAAAAGGGAGGAGGGGGAGGAGGAATGGAAGGATGGAAGGGAGAAAGCTGACGGACAGCCTCATGAACCTCCCTGGCGGACCAGCTCGCACTTTATGTGACTGACGGACGCCATCAGGCCGGGCAGGACATTCACTCTGCAGCAGGCCACGTGCTCCAGCAGAGTTTACGGCGGGATGGAGGTATCTCAGCCCATCCTCCATGTCAGGGAGCTGGGGTCGGACACGTTCCTGCTTGGAGGTCGATGATTCGAAGAGCCAGCGGGGGCGAGGTTGACCTCGAAGGGCACGTCCAGGGTGTTCGGGGAATACATCGTATTACGAGGGGGAGGGTATGACAAGGGCCAGACCTCGGAAATTCGCGCAGAGCTTCACAGCAAAAGCCACTACTACGGATCAGGATCAGGTACTACCCGCCAGAGGGAGACTTTTTTCGAGATACTACTTACCAGCGTGTTACCAGATTTACCGCCAGTGGCACAGGATGGGCCCTGCTGGGCATGGCTGGGCGGCGGCTTGGCACCCGCACTGCCTGCGGTCGTTGGCGCAGATAAACTGCCATCCGACCTGGTCGAATCCAGATATACTTGAGGATGAAGTCTGGGCGGACCCGAAGAGGCGTGTCTTGGCAGGCTGGGCGGAACGGGCAGGTCTCCACCATCCTATCAGTGCATTCCCCGGGCCCACGTGGGGATGCTGGGAAGGCTTCATTCGCAGACTCGGTCCCAGCAGAAGTTCCAGAAACCATCATCCCAGCACGACGTGCGCGCGCGGTGACTGGCACGGTGTCACGGCCCAGAGCTGGCTACCAGTCTTGGCACGCCAAGGTAATCTTCCGATGCGGTCGTGGAACACGAACTCTTCCTTCCCACCATCACTGACGGAAGCGAAAAGTTTATTAAGTTCCCTCCTACGAACTAAGTAGTATTTCACCCCCCGATTAGCACGAGTCACCATGAGGTCGATTCGATTCGATTTCTAATTAACCATTAATTACGCGGGCAATGCAGCGAATGTTCCCTGCTTTCCCCTTCTATCACTTATCTATCACTTGAGTAAACATACATCCTGTTTAGTTCACCGGAATGTTTCGGTCCAGGTAGCCGCTCCACGTGGCCAGGCTGCGCTTCCACGGCGTGTTGGACGACAGCTGCAGGTCCTCGATGGCGCTGGCATACTTGATCAGCGTGGCCTCGGAGAACGCCGTGCCCATCAGCGCCAGTCCGTAGGGCATATGCGAGTCCTGGTTGATACCTGCGGGCAGCGTCACCACCGGGTAACCCGCCTGCGCGGCAATCTCGATCGAGGGGGCAAAGTCCGGAGGCACCAGCAGCGCCGTGAGGTTCCGACCCTGGTAGTGCAGGGCCGCATCGATCCCCTCCTCCCGAGACGTGCGGTGGCAATACTCCAGCGCCTGCCAGTAGGTCTCGTTCATCTCGCCCTTGGTGGCCAGCGAGGCCAGGAATCCGTCTTGGCCTGAGGCAAACGCCGGGTTGACGCCCGGCACCCCGCCCTCACTGCCCGCATTGTCGAGGTTGTACTGCACCAGATCCTCCAGCGACCGCATGTTGGTGTTGTTGAGCTCCGCCAGGTAGTCCCGGATGTTGTTGTAGAAATCCACCTTGACGTACGAGTACTCGGACTGGTTGGGGTAGCCGCGCGTGGTGCCGTAGTCCCAGTTCCAGCCGGACGGATCCACAATCTCCTTGTAGTGCGGCAGCTCCGTGCCGTTGATGATGGTGGCCCCCGCCGCCTCGATCAGCGCCAGCAGTTCCATCAGCTGGGCGTTCTGTGCGGCGTCGTTGTACTGCCAGAAGGACAACCAGGGGAGACCGAACACCGCCCCCTTCAGCGCCGTCTGGTTGGTCAGGAACTGGGCGTACCCGCCCGCCGGGGTCTTGCCCTGCTGGGCATAGGTCTCGTTGTCGCGGGGGTCAATGCCGTAGATGGCATCCAGCGCATAGGCGGCATCGCGCACCGTCTTGCCAAAGGTGCCGACCGTGTCCTGGTGCAGGGACTCGGGGATGACACCCGCCCGGGAGGTCAGACCCACGGTGGGCTTGATACCGACCACGTTCGAACGCTCGGCCGGGTTGATCACTGGTCCTCCACATTAGCATATTTGTGTCATCATATTTTTGGTCTGCCAAACTTACCACTACCATCCGTCTCGGTACCCAGAGCAAAAGGCACCTGGTTGCTCGTGACAGCCACACCGGAACCGGAGCTACTGCCACCGGGGTTGACGGTGAAGTTGTAGGGGTTGCGGCACTGGCCACCACGGCCCGAGTAGCCCTCGGAGTAGTCGTTGGAGCGCATGTCCGCCCACTCACTGAGTGTGGCCTTGCCCAGCAGGACCGCACCCGCCTGGCGCAGACGATGCACGACGTGAGAATCGCGAGGGACGACGGAGCCGACGAGGGCCCAGCTGCCCGCGGTGGTCTCCATCTTGTCCTTACTGGCGATGTTGTCCTTGACCAGGAAGGGGATGCCGTGCAGGGGACCGCGCACGGTACCCTGCTTGCGTTCGGCATCCAACGCCTCGGCAATGGCCATGGCGTCGGG